GTGCTTGCACCTGATCACCTGAGTCAGGATAAGTCACTGATAAATACAGCAGCACGATGTTCGTTATATTACACTGAACATGTATAATGTGCATGCAATTTTTCTGATGTTCAGATTAGATTAGATTTATTTTATTGTTATTGCAGTAAAATGCTGATGCATAGAATCAGTAAACTACAGTATAATACAGCATGTGATGCATCTGATTTAATATTAGAAAAACACTTTAGACTATTTAACTGTAGCAACAAACAACAACTAGTCTCACAACTATGACATGCATTCAGTTATAATTACAGGAAGTGATGCTTTGCTTTCACTTGACATGAACTTTGAGTGTGAAGGACACAAAGATGAGCTGCTGTCTGGTTGCCTGCTGGACTTTATTCTGCTTCCAGAACAGGATCATCACAGGAACCTCAGCTCTTCTACATGGAGACCAAACAAGGTCCCAGTGGACTGAAAACATTCACTGAGTGACTGATTCCATCATTCAAACATTCACATGTTGGATTCATGGAAGGAAAGAACTATATGAACCAAACAGCAGCATCTGGAACACATCTGGAAAACACAATCCCTCCATGCTCCAACAGTCAGGAAAAACTCTGATTTTCTGCATTGATTCAACTTTAACACTGTAGGAAATAATAGAGTCACATTTGTGTTTACAGAGTTACAAAGTGTTTTATTGAGTTTAGTTTGAATCATTTTCTATCACAGAAAAGTTCATAGAGAATATAAATCATTTGATAACAGCTTCTCATCACAGGAATCATCTGTGTGAACAGATTCAGAGGTAAATACAGGAAATAAACAGAACAGGTACAAACAGTGTAAATATCACAGTAATATGCTGACTTATGAGTGTTATAGAGGAGGAGCATCACAGCAGCAACAGCTTCACCAAATGTACAAAGTAACATTCAAAGAATCTCACAGAAATGCTGCAGTTTGAACATCGACACTCAGCTACAGTCTGAGCTGAAATGAGGCTGTCTGTCCAGATGGTGGCGCTGTAAGCTCACTTTTTCCTGCTCTGTTACAGACACCATCTTATTTTCAGTTTCTTGCAAACATCACCACAGTTTACAGACGATCCTGCAGCTTTACTTTGACCTGCTGCACTTTCAGGGATTATCACCAACATTTCACTCCTGGCTGACTCGTTTTATTATTATTGATTATTGATCAGTCGGACTTCTTTTAAACAAATTAAAATTAATAAAACGTTTCTTCTTTTTTTTTCTTGTAGGGGAGTAGTGTTTGTGTTTCTCAGAATCAGCTGAAAATCATTCACTGAACAAACATTTTTCCATCCACGAAGTAAGAGCGTATAACATGATGTGTTCCAATACTGCATCAGAACTCGTGACAAAAACAAAGAAGGATGCTTAAATGTTGAGATAAAAACACATTTCAGGACTGAGTTGGAACAGATTTCCCTCTAAGACCTAAATAAATATCCACAGGAAGCAGCAACACTGAGTTTAAACTCTGAATAAAGATTTTATTTGTTTGAAAGGTTCAAGGACTGAACTGCTCTTCTGTTTCCTCAATGCGCACTTTAAATTTTCAAAACTTCACAGCTGTGATTGGTCCAAACAAAAGCTGACGAAGGACCAGAGTCAAAATATAAAAGCTGGTTAATAATAGTTTAATTAATGGGCTTCCTCTGGATCACTAAGAACTCCCGACCAGCTCAGGATGTATCCTGCCTTCCGCCCAAAGACAGCTGGGACAGGCTCCAGACCCGGAATAAAGTGATAAGCGGAAGTAGATGGGTTGAAAAAAATTCTAACATGAAATCCTGCTGAGTTTTATATTTTAACATTAAAGATGTTTTAAAGGACTGAACATGAAAAATAGAAAGAGCCAAATCTCCCGCAGTTTTTACTCACCAGTTTAAAGAGAGCGAGCAGCGAGCTGTCCCTGTTGTTCACATTAATAATTTAATGATCAGCTGAAGAACGAAGTGACTGTCAGCAGCAGTGAGAAAGACTCAGAGGAGGAAGAAGCTGCTGGCTAGAAATTAAAGACTGATCAGAAACACAAGAAAAACAAGTTAATGTAAAACATGAACGGCTTTGATTCACACCGAGTAAAAAGGAGGAAACACGAGAGTCGATTCATCTGGAATCAAACATTTTCTTTAAGTCCGGAAAAATAAAAAAATGTTAATACGTGAAACGAGTTTGAAGCAAAAACTAAGCTGAAGCGAAAATATGAAAATGTTGTTAGGTAAACACTTCCTGCTGTAAGACACGAACACATCAAATACTGCTGCTGTCTGTTCTTCTTTCCACACAAATTCTGTACACAACAGTATCCACGGACAGATTTCACAGACTGCTGGAGGGAACAGACCACTCCCGCCTCGTCCAATGGGCGTGGTTGTGCTTGATTATTCCCTGCCCCTCATCATTGGGCGGGGTTTATGGCTAGCCCCGAAGGGGCGTTGTAGGCGGAGCAGAGGTTAGTAACTATAAGTAACTCTGCTCCTTCCAGCTCAGTCAGTGAAATCTGTCCGTGTTTGTTGGTGTGTGCAGAATGTGGGTATAAAGAAGAGCAGACAGCAGCAGTGTGTATGTATTTGTATCTGTAACTCTGTTTTTTCATGTCAAACGTCTCTGAGAGTGTTTAAAGTGAAATCTCTGCTCTCATTATCATTAGATATAATGTTATTATTTTACCAGCTGATGTTACATGTTACAGACTGTTCTCCTTCTTTTCTCTCTCTCTCTATTTCATCCATCATCATCATCATTTTTATGAAGCTGAACAAGTGATGATGTCATTTCTGATTTCACTGTAATGTGAGAACTCACAGAGGCAGATTTTATGAGTTACGCTTTATATTTTACTGTCAGCTTGGAGAAACAGTTTCTTTGTATTGTGATCATTCCTATAAAAGTAATGAGGTAACACTGTGCTATATTTGCATGAGGCATCAGTTTGAGGTTAATTTTTTATAAGAAGAACACAAAATTTGTTTTTTTTTCTCCTTGTGGACAAACTCTGTAACTACAAAACTGTTTCTAAATGATTTTAAGCCTGCTTTGATATTTCTGCAGTTTCTCTTTGTGTTTGTTTGCAGATCTTGAAATGAGTGAATAAAGTCAGATTTTCCATCTTCTAGCTGCAGTGCCTGACCTTTGACCTCATGTGTTGATGACTCTTCACCTCTGTCTCCTCTCACAGGGAGAAGATGATCTGCAGGATCCTGCTGCTCATCATCCTCACCTCATGTGTCTCTGGTTAGTTTACAGCTTCACTTTATGAACTCCAAATAAAGCTCAACAACAGATTTGTTCCAGTTCTCAGTGTGTCGGCTCCTCTCTTTCCCTCTCTGTCTCCTCAACAGGATCATTTGTAGTCAATGTGACACAGACCTGCTATCAGGCAGAGGAGAACCACAACATCACACTGGAGTGGACGTTCACCACCAAACCTGACAGATCCACCAAAACTCTCAACATCCTCTGTGAACTGATAACTGTGGTTAAACGTTTAATCCTGTATCAGGTTCATGAAGGTGTTGAGGTGTCAGAGTCTCAGGATGAAAAGTTTTCAGGACGAGTCCAGAGTGACAAAGACGCCCTCAGAGAAGGACGAATCAGACTGCAACTGTCCAGACTCAGGACTGATGACTCGGGTCGGTACTTGAGTGAGGCGGAGACAGGTCATTGGTCCGGACAACATTTTTTTCTTGTTTCTCCTCCTCTTCTTTTCTCTTTTTTCTGAGGACCTGATGGCTTTGAACTTTTCTTGTCCATCTTCCATTGGTTTTAATTTTGCACTCCAGTATGAACACCCATCTCAACCCGAGGATCACCACAACATAATCTAATAATAATAATAATAGACCTACACCTTAGTTCACAGATTCACTTTGTCTAGGGTGCATTTCTGAGATTTCACACAACCCAGGATTCAAATCATGAATACGTAATGGACTTGGATTTACAACATTATAAATGAAATGTGCTCTATTTGGAAGCAGCATGTCTCCCTCCCCTTTCGACGGGTTGTGTGTGAGACTTTAAATCATCAAACTGTAAATTTTAAATTGCTATTGATCTCTTTACCCCTAGTCTTAAGTGTATATTTATTTTTTTACTCTTCTTATATATATATTGTTTGTTTACTTGCACTGCTGTAACTGGAGCCTCGTCGTCTCGTCTCTCTACATACTGGACTGTATGTAGCGGAGATGACAATAAAGTTTACTTTGACTTCAGCAGCGAGCAGGCGCACTGAGGGCTCTCGCGCTCACTTTTCGCGTATAGAATTTCGAAAAAACATCGGTGCAAATTATAAGTCTGTATCATAATGTCTGGTGTTTTCGTGTTTGTTGGTTTGTTTTTATTTTGTTTTATTTTGCGAGTTGGTTTTTAGATGCCGCACCAGCCCGCCCTCTCCTCTCTGCGCCGCAAGCAGCAGGCGCACCTCGCAGACGAAGGGTGTCCTTACTCCCAGCAATGGGCGATAGAAAACCGATCGGAGCCTATGCCATTCCCAATATGCGCTGGCTGACGTCGGGGCAGCATGAGTACGGGCATTTTTTTTTTTTTGCCGATGCCCGTGATGCCGCCCCCCACCACGATGCCGCCCCGGGCACCCGCCCGTGTCGCCCGTATCTAAAACCGCTACTGGGAGACAGATTTAAAGTTCAATAAAAGAACTAAATGTCTTGATGTTCCTTACTTGAAGATACAACATCCACAGTGTTACATATTTTATAAAGGAGGATCAGCACAATGACAACAGCATCACTACATAAACCAAATTTAAAGTATTTAAGGGAAGTTAACTGGACATGAATTAAGTTTTTCCTTAAAGAAAAACAATTCTAAGTAAATGTTTCAGTCCTTTTGGTCAGATGTTGGTGCAAAATTACTGACCTAGCAGACATGTCAGGTTAGAATGCTACAAACACTGACGCTGGATAAAATCTAACTGAGGACTTTCAGTTCAGTTCAGAAGAAATGTGTCATTCTTCTATAAAAGTCATAACCTCGTAAGTGTGTACAGGTCACACTTAAATTAAGCTACCAGAATTATTTTTCTGGTTAAGCTGGAGTGCGTGACATAGAGCTGACCGCCGCTTAGTGCTTCTGCGTCTTTATAACGACCATAAAAAGCTGGCTGAAACTGATATGAAATTACTTTCAGAGCGAGCTGCCATGTTGGTTCTCACTGCTTCCTGAAAAGGGTTATTCCTGTGTTTTCTCATGGCGGTCCGTTAACGTTTCTGTTCAGCTGGACCGTTTCTGCATTATCGGTGGTTTCTGGATTAAATTCTGCACCGTTAATTGGAGGTAAAGTTGTACACCGTAAACCTTCATGCTAATTGGCTGCACTCGTGTCGTTTTACGGTGTCCTAGGTTTTTCTCTCTTCTTCTTCAGAGTTTGTTTTCCTTTCTTCAAGCTATACAGTTAACTTTATTAACGCACAGATTACATTTATGCGGTTTTATATTATTTATATTATTGTTCTCGGTCATCCGGGTCGAGTTACTGTAAAGAGCTTGGGGGAAAAAAGGCGACTGGACTGTTATTGTAACCAAATAAACTGCTGATGCGTCTTTGTTGCGAATTTATCGAAATAAACTCAATTTCCAGTTTGTGTCGCACATTTTCACTCGTCTTTGAAGGCTTAGTCTTCTTTGTTTCCTATTATTATTTGGATTCACTGAGTTACGAACATCCTGATTATATCTGCGTAGTTTGATAAATAACGAAAGTGAAACTAAAGAGGACGCCGCCATCTCCCCAGGGACAAAAACAAGCAGTATAGACAGCAGTAAAAATGCACTACATGAAACATGGAAGTAAGTTAAGGTAGTAAAAAATAAGAAGTCAGTTAGGGTTCTCTGTGTTTAAATGCAGTAATTAGTATTTAAGGAACATTTTAAATCTGATTAAATTATGTTGTTGATCGGAGTCTCCTTTGTTCCATATTTCATATGTGCCAAGATCTTTTCAGTGGGTCTGGAACACACCTGTGACTCTGAGCCATGCTGCTGTAACTGCTTGATGCATTTTGTTGAATTAAGCAAAAAAGGACATGAAAGTTACACATAACATTATCAAAAATGCTCCGGATGATGAGTTTCTTTTTTTCTGTTTTTCACCGTCCACTTTTCCCTAAAATAATTTCACGTGTTGAGATTCAGACCAAAGTCTTCTGCTTTGCCTCAGCCCGGAGTTTGTGGAGTGTGTGATCCAGCCGCTCTGGATCATTTTCTTTTATTTAATAATACAGTACAATACAATGTACTATTTTAAATTAAATTAATTTTATGTATTACTTTATTTTTCCACAGTATTTTCTTCTGGATTTTTTTTAGCCACTTATGAATTTAATCACTTGTGGAATTGCCCATAAACATCTGTAAAAGCTCTTTAAAGCACTGGTACTTTGTATCTATGTATCAGAGTATCCATATCATTGAATACACCACAACCTAATTAGAAACAAACAAATAAACAGAACACATCAACAGAAACAAACCAGATTAAAACTTGTTTCTCTCTTTGATCAGGTGACTGCAGGATTTGGCCAAAATGGAAAGGTATGACACTCAACACCACACATCCTTTTTAGTATAAGTGTTATTTATTCATACAGTGTCACTGAAAGCTTTACTCTATGATGGTTTGAAACTAAAGCTTATTTTTCCTACAGATTAAGATGCCTTTTAGGGTTATATATATTTACTAGAATAATATTTACAATGAACAACATTTCCCCTGATCTGCCTCATTATGAGATTTTCTTTAAAGAGAAAAGAAAGTGTTTTTACCACCTTATCAAAACGCTTCACTATAAAAGCAGCATCAATGTGAAATCATTTCAAAAGACTGCAGTAAATATTGGACTGGTGTGTTTTTGATACACATGTGCCATATAACCTATATTATAAATCTAGAGGTGCTGGTTATTATATTAGTCTTGTTTTTAGATCCAAAGAATACCTCCCTGCCTTTAGTCTTCACGGCCATTATAAGCTGTCCTCTAACATCCATAGATTTATGTGATCTGTTTCAGATCATAGGTTTCTTGCAGTTAAGCACCAACAAAAACAGATGAAAACAGATGTCTGAAGTCTTCCTGGAAACCAGAAAAGACTGAAGTGAACCAAAGTAATTTAGTGTGAAGAGCTGTAAACTATATAGACCCAGTGTTTTTTCTTCTTCTTGTAAATAGTTTGTGCAGCATATGCTGCAGCTGAAGACTGTAAAGGTAATTTCCATCCCTGATGGTCTCCTTTTCTGCCTGCCAGGATCCATCAAAGACCAGAAACCATGAAAATTGAACAGGAACCTGAACTCAGCTGTGTGTTTGTGAAGAGTGATCGGTCAAAGGAACCCATCGTTGTTTTCCAAGGAAGTGGATCTCCTTCAGATGATGAGTAAGATATAACCATTTGTCTAGCAGCTGTTGTAGCGGAAGAGTAAAGAAAAAGCAAAAAACAGCAACAACAAAAAAAAAACCCATAAATTAATACTGATTGTCCACATTCCCCAGATCAGATTCCTCTGGTCCTAAACCTGGACTCAGCACGAGGAAGACGAAGGGTAGAATGAAGAGGAAGAGTTCAAAATTATATCCCACTGAAGTTAAAAGAAGAAAATCCTCCACTGCACATAAGTAAGATATGATTATTTCCGTACATTACATATCTGCAGTAAGGACAACCTAAAAACTGCTTTTGTTTCACTTACACCTTAAATTAAAGCTAAAAATAGATGAAAACTATTTTTGTCTAAAATGTGAGGTCAGTGTAAATAAAAAACAATCACATGTAGCTTCAGTAGTTAATAAAACTGAAGATTGAAAAGTGTATTTTCCTCCTTGATGGTCATTGTTTCTGTTTACCAGGACACATCATAAACCAGATGTCCCTGAACCTGAACTTGAAGCTGAACCCAGATGTGTGTCTGTAAAGAGCGATCGATCAAAGGAAGCCATCGTTGTCTTCAAAGGAAGTGGATCCCCTGCTGTTGAGAAGTAAGATTAAATGATGCCTAGTAGGAGTTATAGCTGACGTGTTTCCTTACTCCAGTCTGTTGAACTGGTGATAAAATGGTAACTTAAAGTAAGACTTTGAATATAAGGAAATCATTTTCTGTCTGAAAGATGAATTCAGTGTATACTGTAATCCATACATGATATCAACATGACCTTGGTATTGATCTTTCTCTTTGTAGGAACACTACTGATAAAAAATTAGTATGTGATTATTATTCTTGAGTATCAAAGAAAAGTCTTCTTTTAATACTAACATTATTCAATAGTCACCTTTTGTTTATAGTCATGTTTTATAGTACTTTTCAAAATCGGGTCTACAAAGTTTTTTACAATGAAAAATTAAGAAACAACTATGTAAAACAAAACAAATTAGACATTTTTCCCTTTGATATTTATGGTGGTATGAAAGATGAAGAGAGAATGGCCTTTATATTGTTATTTCAAGCACTGTGAGTGTAGAATCCGCCTGCTGGTCAGACAGAGGATGAATTGAAGGCCTGCACTGTTACTCATGCAATGGTACTCTAGTAGAGTCCAAATTTAAAAAGAGAGCTCAAGATGAACATAAATAGGTTAATTTTAAGACCTTTATAAAACAGACACACAAAGTCTAAGCTTTGATTCTTCACGTTGTCTCCATAGAGTTGTTCAGTCTGGCTCAGATGTCTCCTCCCCCCATCATGCCCCGCAACATAAAACTGACCTGAGCCAAATATTTATGGTCTGTATATGTGAAACATTTATTTATTTGTTTTTTTACTATACAACTTAAATCAAAAAGTAGATAAAAGTAATCTGCTTTCACTAGAGCTACATTTAAACAGAAATAAAGCCAAAGCGTTACCTTCACTTCAGGAAATTTGTTCATTTGTCATTCATTCTGTTTCAGGGGCTGGAGGACAACATTGTCACTTTTGTGAAGAATGAGCTAAAGAAAATGCAAAATCATCTAAATGCAGAATCCCCTGAAAGTCAGAGAGAAGATGTGAAAATATTGGACAGTGAAGACGGGGAGCAGAGGAGGATCATTGGAGAGGCACTTCTGCAGATCACAGTTTATTTCCTGAGGACAATGAAACTGGAAGATCTGGCTGCCTGTCTGGAGAGCAGTAAGAGGATTTCTTTTCATAAATGCACCATTTAGGAGGACAGAACTGTTGTGTGTCCTGTATAGGGATGGGTATCGTTTAGGTTTTATCCAATACCGGTGCCAAACCGGTACTTTTGAAACGGTGCCGGTGCTTAAACGGTGCTCAAACCGGTGCTTAAAGAATGGAGAACACAAAATTGGTCCAAAAACCTCTCATGTTCAGCTGTTTTTTTGTAAAGAGATAACAATGTTAGCCTTTTCTGCAGCTATAGGGCATATATGGTATCACTCATGGCTGGAAGCAGTGCTTAAACAATGGAAAAAAAACACAAACTTTGTCCAAAGACCTCTCATGTTTAACTGTTTTCCATTTTTGGCAGCACGGTGGCACGGTGGTTAGCACTGTTGCCGCACAGCAAGAAGGTCCTGAGTTCAATTCCACCGTCAAGCCGGGGTCTTTCTGTGTGGAGTTTGCATGCTCTCCCCGTGTTTGCGTGGGTTCCCTCCAGGTACTCCGGCTTCCTCCCACCGTCCAAAGATGTGCAGCTTGTGGGGATAGGTTAATTGGATAATCCAAATTGCCATTAGGTGTGTGGTTGTCTGTCTCTGTGTGTTGGCCCTGCGACAGACTGGCGACCTGTCCAGGGTGTACCCCGCCTCTCGCCCTATGACAGCTGGGATTGGCTCCAGCGCCCCCCGCGACCCTGAAAAGGATAAGCGGTAGCGAATGGATGGATGATGTATTTTAGCCTTTTTGGCCTGGGTGAAGGGAGTATCTGCCATTAAACAAGAAGACAGCCGCATGTAACTACTACGGTGTTTGCTAGTTCACCTTACTTGCATTAATGTAATAACGTGGTTAGCCTACTCAATGTAAAGTATACACGAACAACATTAAGCTACTCACGCAGAGAAGAACGGCTGCTGCTGCCATCATCATCCATCATCATTTCTGCTACACTGGCAGGGCTAGGGCCAGGACTCTACTCTTCGGGTTTTTGGGGGATGTTGCTAACTCCGGGTCCAATAACAGGCAACCCACCCGCAGTAGATGTGCTCGGTGTGAGGTCTCGCAGCAAGCTATCAAATACGCTGCATTTTTCAGCTTAAAAAAAAAAACGCTATGCGTCGCCAGGTGTTTCATCGGATTTGAGGTGTTACCTCCTTTGACAGTATCACAGTATCAGCTTAAAGCACTTGTTGCAGGCTGCTGAGTTTGCATATTTTGCTGTGAAGTACAGCCAGACTTTTGACCGCTTCGCCTTGGGCATTTTTAATCTGTAGCTCTGCTCTAAAAGAACGTATGTACCTGGCCCCGCCTACTATCCTCGGAAACGTAAAATGATTGGCTAGAATTCAAATTGTGTGACATCTCAGGAAAAAAAAAAGCACCGAAATAAAGCACCGAAATGTGCACTGCTTTTCGGTCTGGTTACTACCCTTTATGCCATCATGGCACCGGATACCGGTACCCATCCCTAGTCCTGTATATTCAATACTTTAATAAAAATATATAACATTCTTACGATACTTTTATAAAAGAAATTATGGACTAACATTTATATTTGAATTTCTCTTTTTTTGCTTAGAAAACCCTTATTCAGGTTGTAGGTGTGAGCTTAAGTCTACCCTAAAGAAGAAGTTTGAGTGTGTGTTTGAGGGGATTGCTAAACCAGGAAACGCAACCAATCTGAATAAGATCTACACAGAGCTCTGCATCACAGAGGGAGGGACCGGAGTGGTCAACACTGAACATGAGGTCAGACAGCTTGAAATGTTTTCCTGGAAACCAAACAGACCAGAAACAACAATCAGGTGTGAAGACATCTTTAAAGCTTCGACTGGAAGAGACAAACCAATCAGAACAGTTATGACCAAAGGAGTGGCTGGCATCGGGAAAACATTCCTGACACAAAAGTTCACTTTGGACTGGGCTGAAGACAAGACCAACCAGGACATCCAGTTCATGTTTCCATTCTCATTCAGAGAGCTGAATTTACTGAAGGATAAAAAGTTCAGCTTAGTGGGACTTATTCATCACTTCTTCACTGAAATCAAAGAAGCAGGAATCTGCAACTTTAAAAAGTTCAAAGTTGTGTTCATCTTTGATGGTCTGGATGAGTGTCGACTTCCTCTGAACTTCCACATCACTGAGATCCTCACTGATGTTACAGAGTCCACATCAGTGGATGTGCTGCTGACAAACCTCATCGGGGGAAAGTTGCTTCCTTCTGCTCACATCTGGATAACCACACGACCTGCAGCAGCCAACCAGATCCCTGCTGAGTATATAGACATGGTTACAGAGATCAGAGGGTTCACTGACCCAAAGAAAGAGGAGTACTTCAGGAAGAGACAGAGACAAGGAAGAGGCCAACACCATAATCTCTCACATCAAGAAGTTACGAAGTCTCCACATCATGTGTCACATCCCAATCTTCTGCTGGATCACTGCTACAGTTCTAGAGAGTTTGTTAAAAACCAAACAGGCTGGAGGGAAGCTGCCCAAGACACTGACTGAGATGTACATTCACTTCCTGGTGGTTCAGACCAAAGTGAAGAACATCAAGCATGATGGAGGAGCTGAGACAGATCCTCTCTGGAGTCTAAAAAGTAAGAAGATGATTGAAGCACTGGGGAAACTGGCTTTTCAGCAGCTGCAGAAAGGAAACCTTATCTTCTATGAAACAGACCTGACAGAGTGTGGCATTAATGTCAGAGAAGCCTCAGTGTACTCAGGAGTGTTCACACAGATTTTTAAAGAGGAGGGGGACTGTACCAAGAGAAGGTTTACTGTTTTGTCCATCTGAACATTCGGGAGTTTTTAGCTGCTCTTCATGTCCATCTGACATTCACCAACTCTGGTATCAACCTGCTGGAAGAAGAAGAAACAGCCTCAGTGCAGAGTGGAGAATCTTCAGTAAGACATTTCTACCAGAGTGCTGTGGACAAGGCCTTAAAGAGTCCAAATGGACATCTGGACTTGTTTCTTCGCTTCCTCCTTGGTCTTTCACTGCAGACCAATCAGGATCTCTTACAAGGCCTGCTCACACAAACAGGAATCAGCTCACAGATAAATCAGGATATGGTCAAATATGTTAAAGAAAGGATGAATGACACTCTCTCTCCTGAGAAAAGCATCAATCTGCTCCACTGTTTAAATGAATTGAATGATGACTCTATAGTGAAAGAGGTCCAGCATCACCTGAGTTCAGGACACCTGTCCAAAGTTAATCTCTCTCCTGCTCAGTGGTCAGCTCTGGTCTTCATCTTACTGTCATCAGAAACAGGTGTGGATGAGTTTGACTTGAGGAAATATTCAGCTTCAGAAGAGGCTCTTCTGCAGCTGCTGCCAGTGGTCACAGCCTGTAAGAAAGCCCAGTAAGTATCCAGTTTAAGCCTTTCAAGAGATTACTTTAAAGTGCTTCTTTTAAGAGTTTGGAAAGTTCTCTGATATTCACGTTTCCAGGTTGAGTGGCTGTAACCTCACAGAGAGAAGCTGTGAGGCTCTTTCCTCAATTCTAAGTTCTCAGTCCTCCAGACTGAGAGAGCTGGACATGAGTAACAACAACCTTCAGGACTCAGGAGTGAAGCTGCTTTGTGTTGGACTTGGGAGTCCACACTGTATGCTGGAAACTCTCAGGTTAGCTGATTCTTTGTTTAAGAAAATGTGGGTATTTCACAACAACTGTCGTTATTTTATAGATTTTAAGATGTGGTTTCTGTTCTGATGTAAGCTCTGAAAGAGAACAGTAGAGTAGAAGTGAAACACACACTTCCCAAATCAAAAAAACTATAACTTTATTTATGATTTAGTGTAGATTTATTCCAAACGGCTCTCATATTTTCGAATGTGTAACATATAGACGATTGTCACATAGCATCTGTATGTTACGTTTTTGGATGAGAACGTGTCCGTCATAGTAAAAAAGACAGAAAATAATTATGTTTTTTGTTGTTTTTTTTTTAATTTGAGTACAGAAAAGCCAGTTAGTGTGTTTTTAACAACTTTAACTAGAATTAGAATCTGTTAGTTCGACTGTACATCATCAAATTCAGAGTAGTTCCTAACAATGATGTGACATGTTGTATGTTTGAAGGCTGTCAGGCTGTCAGATCACAGGAACAGGCTTCCCCTCTCTGGACACAGCTGTGCGCTCCAATCCCTCCTATTTGAAAGAGCTGGACTTGAGCTATAATCATCCAGGAGACTCAGGAATGAAGCTTTTGTCTGATCTAAAGAAGGATCCACATGTGAAACTGGACATACTCTGGTAGGAAAACAGGAAATACAACTGGAAATATATTTTTTCTCCAACATATTGTAACAAAGAGCAGATATTTTGAGTTTTTGATTTGTTTAACCCCAGTTATGACAGGTGCCTTTGTGATGGTTCTGGGTCTGTGACACAGGGTTTTGAGGTTTTTTTTTTTTTTTTTTTTTGCTGCTTCCTGTTGTGTACCCATGTCCTTTGTGCTCCACACAGTCACAGCCATACCTCCCTGTTTTTAGTCAGACGAGGCGCCAGGGTTTCCATTTTCACGAAGAAGTCATCTGTGGGTGTGGGCACACCCGGGGAACACAGATTAACAGAAACTAATTGATGAGACAGGAAGCAAACACACATGAGATGAGGAACTTTCAAAATAAAACAGGAATTAAGAGTATACTGACTGTGACAGAGACACATGAACCTGACCGAGACAGAAAGGTAGACAAACATGGAGACAGAGGAATACAAACACAAAGACAGAGACTCAAGGAGTGACAGAGGGAAAGCAGGGAACAAACTGAAACTCCAGGAATCAAAATAAACAATCACTATAACCAGGAATATGAAAGAGCAGAAATAAAAATAAGCACAACTGCATAATAAGTAATGAAGAAACCCAGGAACACTAAATCAAAGACGCCTACCCTAAAAACTTTCAATTATAAAAATATGAGAATAATAAAGATCAGTCAGAACTTAGAGTCCAAACACAAACGCTGGATCGAAGCCCCAGGACTATATGACAGGGTCGGCAGCAGTCCAAATGAACTGGAGGGGCAATTAACTTTGAAAGGTTGACATTTGACTCTTTTTGCCATTTCAAATAAAAAAAAAAGCAATGTATATTTGCAACTATACAGTCACAGTATACTCAGAAGGAAATATATCCATGGTTAAAATAAGTACAAAAATATCTGTGTTAGACTGTAGAAGCAAGAGACAAGCTGTACACACATGTTCTCTCAATGAACTCACCACACACAGCTGACTTTGAAGACAATATCGTCAGCATATTCACATGATGATGAATGAAAGACTTTCCATGATGCTCATGCTTCCCTGCCCTGTTATTCCCACTGACACTTCTGGTAGAAACATCTCATAAACAACAGGAGAAAGACTCAGACGGAGTTTAGAGGTTGCACAGGGTGATATGTTTGCTCAGATTTTGAAAGGTATTGGACAATCTCCAAAAGTTGATTCTGTTCATCTGGACGTAGCGTTTTTGTGGGAGAAACGTTTCGTCACTCATCCAAGTGACTTCTTCAGTCTCAGTTGACTGCAGGTTTCCCCAACCTTATAAACAGTACATTTGCATAATGACTGAAACCAGCCCACTGAAGGAACAATGGGCTGGGAGGACAATGTGACAGTTATGTTGTGACTGGTCAGAATTAGCCAACAAAAGTAATTACATGTTTTATTATTCATGTTTTCTTCGTCTTCGTCTTCTTCGTCTTCATAATGGATTGCATTTATATAGCGCTTTCTACGCACCCAAAGTGCTTTACAATTCCACTATTCATTCACTCAAATTCACACACTTTTAACCCTTTCACATATAGTGGTCACAACAGTGGACAGCTATTCAAAGGCTATTTTCTTGTATTTGTGTCAGTGTACATGGTATACTGGCACTAGTACATTCACGTTGTTGTAAAAAGCATGATAATATATTAAGTAATCCAAAGTATTCAGAATACGTTACTGTCATTGAGTAACGTAACAGAGTACGTTACAGAATACATTTTGGGGCATGTATTCTGTATTCTGTAATGGAATACATTTTAAAAGTAACCTTCCCAACACTGTGCCCCACCAATGCTGGGGCAACAGTGACAAAGACAGAAACAGACTCAGACCCAAATAACTTGAAGCCTGAACACAGCAGTCTTTTCTCAAAATGTTTGTTCTATATATTGATTTGTTTTGTGTTGCACTGAATAACTAAGCAACTGAAACATCCTCACACATGTTAACAGAGACAGAACATAGTATTTGAAGCACATTGTTTATTGTAGTGACAGAAACACAGGGAGGCAGAAAATAAAGCAGACTGAAACCAAGAAATGCTGCTGCAAGAAAGTATGAAACCAATACAGAATATGGAGAATAATCAAAAATTCAAAACCAGAAAAAACCCAAACATCCCAAAACTCCAAACTCTGAGTCTAAAACCCAGGGATCATGACATTATGTAACCCTGTTTCATTGTCCCCTCCAGATTTATTTTCCTCCCTTGCCAATGTTTAGGCTCAGATTGTCTTCCCAGACTGACTCTCAGTCTGGAGCTTACTGTGTACCTTTATGCCAATAAATGCAGAACCACTGTAAGCTTTGAAACAGGATTTTGACTTTCCTGGTGCCAAATAAAAGTGAAGTAAGTACTTGCATTTCATGCGGTGCAGATACAGTCATGTGAAAAAGTAAGAATTCTTCTTAAGTTATTCAATTCCTACTCATTGTTGAGGTGATCCTACAGGGCTGCACTGTTTTATACAGTGTTATTTATACAGGATCTTTTTTTTACACGTCTTCAATGTCCTCAGGTTGTATTTAGGTAATTTAAGAACCTAATACAGACCTGATAATTAAAAGAAACGTGCTTACGATACATAAAAAAAAAAAAATCCAACCTTAGAACTAAATGAGAAACTATGATCATTTTCAATTTATTGTGAGATAAAATAAAGTGCAAGCTTATTTCTCTAGAAGAGATGAATCAGAGAATATAAAGGCCATGTTTTCACACTAAATGATGATGTGCTTATTTCAGTGTGGAGCCTCAAGGAGTCCAGTGGATGAGACCAGGTCTAAGAAAATGTAAGTGTGTTTTTGATTTACTAGCTGTATTTACATCATTTTTTCACACATTATATGCATCTCTGCTAAATATCTTTTATCATATATTTTATAAAAAATTGTTTCAGTTATTTAATTCCACAACTAAAACCCATTTTTGATAAATCTTAAAACATCACAAAGTTTTGCATACTGGTTTTTCTTCTTCATAAACTAACGTGAAAACCAATTAAACCCTTTCTTCATTATCTGGTGAAGAAACGTGGCCACATAGTCAACTAGAATTTTCTATTCAGATATAATTTTGCTAGTGGTAAGATTGGCATGGCTAGAGGAACAGCTGTAACAGCGCCAACCTCGTGATTAGTTTATAATATTTGGTGCGAAATCAAAGTTACCAGGGGGGGGGGGGTTAGATTAATTAAATTATTGATCTACTTTAAACAGAATTTGGCTTCATGAGTCAGGTTGTAATTCATCTGTGTTAACTAGCATTAGCTAATGTACCGATGATCAGATTTGAGAATGAAGACAGAAAAATCTTTCCATAAATCAAATACACTGCTGATGCTGACTGATTCTGACGATGACCTGATTTTTGACTGAAAGGCAAATGTAAAGTTTGGCTCTATTAACACTAAACTACCAAGGAGAATATTTTTACCCATCAGCATTTTAAAAATCCTGTCACCACAGGAGATATTTTCACTGTGTAGAAATCAGTGTAAAACAACTCTGGCACTCCTAGTTGCCTAGCAACACATTTACATGCAGTTTGATGTGCACATAAAATGAAAATAATCAAATCACATAACATCACTTTGATGTTTGTGTTTAGTGTTGGTGGTGCACCTTAGACGTGAACTGAATGTGAATGCAAAGCCTCTATACTTATAGTTATATGTTCATATATATTCCAGTCACTTCCCTTTTCAATTAATTATTGTTGATAATTTTGAATTTTAAGATTTTTTTTCTATTTTTCATTCACACTCATCATCACACTGCCTGCATCCTTGAATGTTTAAGCAATAGAACACAAAATATGAGGACCACATTTACTGTTACACATTGGCTATAATTAATTATTTGCTATATGCACTGTGTCTTATTGTCCCTTTTAGATTTCTGTGATCTGACGCTGGATTCAAACACAGCACACAGGAACCTCAAACTGTCTGATGGAAACAAGGAGGTGACACATGTGGAAGAAGACCAGCTGTATCCTCATCATGATCTTAGCTTTGATCACTGGCTTCAGCTGCTGTGTACTAACAGTCTGACTGGTCACTGTTACTGGGAGGTTGAGTGGAGAGGAGAGGTTCATGTTGCTGTAGTTTATGGAGGAATCAGTCGGAAAGGAGATGGTGATGAAAGCAGATTTGGAAGGACTTACCAATCCTGGAGTCTCTACTGCAGTGATGACAGGGGTTACTATGTAGATCACAATTACATAGCAAGAGCCATCCCTCTGCTCTCCTCACCTCTCTGTCACAAAGTAGCAGTGTATGTGGACTGTTCTGCAGGAATTGTATCCTTCTACAGTGTCTCCTCTGATAAACTGATCCACCTGCACACCTTCAACACCACCTTCACTGAACCTGTATATGCTGGGTTTAGAGTGAAGCCTGACTCTAGTATCCACCTCTGTGCTGACTCAGAATAATGAACTTACTGTGCAGAGTCACATTGGTGTTTCACACTTTTTCTCACTTAAATATTATGAACCTTAAATATATCAGGTAAACTGTCTGATACGTTGTACATATATTGGCTTGGTTTGTAGCCCCGAGTTGTTGAATGAGATTCTCCTGAAAAAATCATCTTATTGTCTTTGGTGCCTATTTTTAAGAGCACTTATCAGTTTCTATTATGCGTCACAGTTTAAATAGGAAAGAGGAACTTTACTTTAAAATCTGTTGCATTACTATTATCAACTATTATATTTGTTCCATTATACACATTTTAATAATGTTTAGACTGATGGATGAAATCCTTGTAACAGAAAATGTAGACATTTTAGATGTTGATGAGTTAGACTTTGTGAGGAGGAGAGCTGCAGGCTTCAGATTTTGTGTTTAGGCTTAATTTCTTACATTGCATTACTATACATTTGTGTTTTTCTCTCTTGTTATGCAAATTAATTAACATTTCACTACAATTAATTCCTGGAAAAAGGCGATATCACCACCATGTGACCAGTTTTCATAACAATTGATCCAAATGGTTCTGGATCCAAAAAAAAATTATTAATTTCTGATGATCTAAATGTAGCTTTAAATACTACTGACACGAGTGCACCTTATGGAGGTTGTAACTGGAGGCCTTGGAGACATCTCTCTTCATTTCATATTCAGTAAAAACAGTCTGACTTATAGATGACCTCCAGTCTGTGTTTCTCGACTGATCTGAGGAGCTTGGAAAGAAAAGCGTCTGGACTTCTTAAAGTTACTACGATGACTGAGAACCTTCACAGACATATTTCTCGACTGATCAGAAACTGTTTTTCAATCTCAGATTTGGTTTTTATTCTGTGTGAAAAACACAATCCTGATTTGTAACAGAAAAGGGAAGGTGAAGACAAAAGAAATATGTAAAGAGTAGGATTTTTTTCTTGTTGACGAAGGTGTTTTTACTTCTCCAGTGTATAAATGTGTGTAATTAATTTTAAACCTTTGTCAGTTTTTAAATTCAGTTGGAGAATATTTAAACACAGCTGTTTTTTAAATAAATTTTAATAAAGGACTGTTTGTCTGGTACTATGTTGCACTGTTTATATGAAACACTAAAATGAAACTGTTTATATGTGTATAAACTGTACACTGTATCCAGAGAGTCAAAAACAAAAACGGAGGAAAAACAGACAGGAAGCTATTTTTAAAGCATCTTTGTAAACATTTATACAACAAGTGTATATTTTCTGTACAGTATATGAGGGGAAAAAACGAGAAGCAAAAAGACTCGTTCCAACTTTCATTCTATCAGTTTCTCCCCTCATCACATAAATACCCGAGCAGTGACAGAGACCGCGACTGCAGCATTTCTCATCAGAACACAAAATACTGAGAACCATCCACACTGTTGTGGGTCTTCAGATCTCGTCCAGCATAATTCAAAGCCTTGTTGATAACAATAATATAAATTGTGTGGTGTGAAGTTCTGGAGAGTTGCAGGGTTGTAGGTCAAAGAACTAGTAGGGGAACACTCCCGCTTTGATCGTTTCTGCTCTTCTTCTCTTTTTTCTAAACTGAGCACCTGATGGTTTTGAACTTTTCTTGTCCATCTTTTATTGGTTTAATTTGCACGCCAGTGAACACCCATCCCCAACCCGAGGATCACCACAACATAACCTAACAGACCTTAGTTCACAGATTCGCTTTGTCTACGGTTTATTTCTGGGATTTCACACAACCCAGGATTCAAATCATGAATACATAAATGGCTTGGATTTACATCATTATGGATGAAATGTGAAATATTTGGAAGCAGCCGCCCCTGTCCCTTTCGACTCTAAATTATAAATTTTAAATTGTTATTGATCGTCGTCTCGTCTCTATATACTGGACTGTATGGAGCGGAGATGACTTTGTTTGACTTCAGCAGCGAGCAGACACACCGAAGGCTCTCGCACTCACTTTTCGCGTTGAAATTTCAAAAAAGAAATTATAAGTCTGTATCATAATGTCTGGTGTTTTCATGTTTGTTGGTTTGTTTTTATTTTGCGAGATGCTGCTCCAGTCAATCAGAGAATCCCCCGCCGCCCTGCCCTCTCCTCCCTGTGCCACAAGCGGCAGGCGCACCTCGCAAACGGAGGGCGCCCTTACTCCCAGCAAATGGGCGATAGAAAACCAATCGGTGCCTATGCAATCCCCAAAATGAGGTGGCATGATGTTGGGGCAGTATGGGTGCTAGCAGCTTTTTTTGCTGGTGCCCACGATGCCGCCCTCCACCACAATGTGCCCTGGGCAACCACCCATGTCACCCAAAAACTACTATTGACTGTCTGAATAGAAAACGGGATTTCTACTCATCTAATAATAGATGTCAGAAGACTTCATCAGATCAATCAGTGGAAACAGTTTGATCAACAATGTAAACGAGACTGTTGGAGTTCACTTTAATAACATGATGGACAGAATAATGAGACACGATCCACAAAATCATGAACTTCATGGAAGTCTGTTCATTCAAAAGGAAACTTTATCAAACTGTCACTTTTCAGTCAGAAGATGAAATTTGCTCCATGTTCACTTTACTGATGAGAATCATGTCGACCTCACAGACCTCGTGTATCTGATAGGTATTAATGTTAAACATTAACTGTGTATTTGTATAATATATACTGTGTATATGATGGATTTAGCTAGTCATTATGCAGAGACATGAAAACCTGCAGATCCTGCAGAGTTTGTGGGAAATCCAATCCAGCACTGACCCTTGTATTCATGTTCAAATATCAGTAAATGTGCCATAAATTTTCCTGTGTTTTCTGCAGTTTCTTCAGTTTAAACATTTTCTACATTATTGTTGCTCCAGCTCAGCACATAGTGAGTTTACAGCTGTTTGTATTTTATACATGTGCTTTTGAGAGTGCTTCACTGATATTTTTTTTCCTGAAAAACCTAAAAAACAATACATTTATAAGCAACAAAGTGCACAAAACGTTAGGTGTAAATGGTAAATGGCCTTTATTTGTATAGAGCTTTTCTAGTCCCTAAGGACCCCAAAGCGCTTTACACTACATTCAGTCATCCACCCATTCACACACACATTCACACACTTGTGTAGCAAACATTATAAGACAACAGATGAAAGTAACCTTATTGCTGACTTTGGCGTATTTACATTGACATATTCATTAATATTCCATTTCCATTGAAATCAAATGTGATTTTTAATTTTTCTAACTATATTAGAATATTCAGTAAGTAAACTAAATAATCTGGCAATTGACAGTTCATGTAAGAGGACAGCTAATGTTATCATGTTTTTGATGTTGTCTTGTAAATGTTTAATGGACATACAAGAGCCCACCTTTCATTTTATATTTGATTGATTTGATAACTTGCAAATGGTCAACAATCAGTGAATCATTTAAGATCAATCAACTGCACATTTTATTCAATAAGTAGCCTTTAAGCTACAGTGTATCTGGTGTACAAAGTGTACAAAGCTTGTGCCAAAACATAGTTCCATTTAGTGAGGCCAGTTGTTGTAGCAGAATCAGTTAAAGGTTTTTAGAGCACCAAAAGAAGTTTTTGGTGGTCTGTGAGCCAACAATGGTGGATTATGTGCTGATGTAGCACAGTGTCCACCTGATCCCTGGTTTCAGCATTCAGGCTTTGCAGGATTAACATCACCGAAGAACCTGAGATTAAAACCTAAACCTGTTATGTATTTTTGTTGTTTTTTTTCCTATCAGCCTACCTTTCTGACATGTCTGCCCAATGTGATGTTTGTGTAAAGTTGGTCAGAAGGTTCCTTTGTAAGTGCGCATGCGCCATTAGCGTGCTGCCTGCTGTAACCCTAATTTCCTTCGGGATTAATAAAGTATTCTGATTCTGATTCTGAATGTTGACAAAACAAAAGAGATGATTGTTGATCACTGCCCACTTAACATCAATAGATCCTCTGTGGAGGTTGTCAAGAGCACCAGATTCCTTGGTCTCTACCTGGTGGAGAACCTCTCCTGGTCCCTCAACACCAGCTCCATAACCAAAAAGCCCAGCAGCGTGTCTACTTCCTGCAGAAGCTGAGGAAAGCCCATCTGCCATCATCCATTCTTACCACCTTCTACAGAGGGACTGTCGAGAGCATCCTGAGCAGCTGCATCACTGCCTGGTGTGGTAACTGCACCATATCAGATTGCAATACCCTACAATGGATAGTGAGAGCAGCTGAGAAGATCATTGGAGCCTCTCTTCCATCCACCAAGGACACTTTCAGCACCCGCTCCATCTGCAACGCCACCAGCACTATGGAGGACCTCACACACACTTTTCACCCTGCTGCCTTCTGGAAAGAGGTACCGGAGCATTCGGGCCCTCACTGCCAGACTATGGAACAGTTTCTTCCCCCAAGCCGTTAGACTGCTGAACACTCAGTGACTGGACACACACACACACACACACACACACACACACACACACACACACACACACACACACACACACACACACACACACACATCCATTGCACTGTCTTGTGTCTGTGTCGCCCTGTTCTGTCTAGTGTTGCACTGTCTTGTCTTGTTTTCTTTCCAATTTTTTGCACATTGCACTTTACGTAGTCCCGTGTTTTTCTATTATATGTCATATGTAGCACCAGGGCCTCGGGGAAAAGCTGTCATTTCACTCTGTACTGTACGACTGCACATGGTAATGACAATAACAGACACTTGACACTTGGCAGAGTCTGCAGCCACAGTTTAAGTGCAGCTCACCAGCACATGAAGAGTTAATGGTCGTCTATGATCCAAATCATGATCATTGTTCTGTGCACACTTTCAGCTACAAGATGTAAAATTGTCTGTTGACATCAGAGTGAAGTGTGTTGTTTTGTTACTCCAGTAACATATTTAGATGTTTTCAGGCTGTTTATCTGTACCCGTCCTTGTGTTTCTCCGTCTCTGGCAGCTGTCTCTGCGAACCATGAGCTCCTCTCTACGAACCTGGAAGAACATGTGAAGTATTTCCTGTTGATTTTACCCGGTGCATTTCACTCACTGACCTGCAAGATAAAAACAAAATATCACTGTAATGGATTTTCATTTCATCAGAGCTCACAGATAAGTTGAGCATTAGCCAACAGGGGGCGTTTCTCACCAGAAAATAAATGAGGCAAAATTAAACAGGTCATGTGATCGGTGTTCTTTAAAAGTTCCTTTCAGACTCACTGGTTTATTTGAAAGTTACAGGTTAGTGCAGGATAAACAGGTTAGTTTGCTGCACTGTGATGGATTTAACAGAATAGTGTCCCAGATAGCAAGGAAACATTGAAACTATGTTGAGTCAATATCAGGCTGTGTCATTGAATCAACGTTGAAGTGTGACGTTGACCTAACGTCACTCTTGCACCTTTTTTTAATGTTGAAACAACATCAGGTTTTGATGTTGAATCAATGTTGAAACCTGACATTGATTGAACGTTATATTTTCTAATACTGTTGACATTGAAACAATGTCATATTCTGATATTGAAACACTGTTGAGCTATGGTGTTGATTTTCCACCTCTTTCGCACAGTTGCTTTTTATTAAAACAACAGTTAAATCATGACTGGAATCTACCTTTCTTTATAGGTATTTTAACCAATACTAAACTACTGCATGTTTCCATCAATACTTAAACCACCTAAACACATAATTGTACTTATTCCTTAAATTGGACACCCTTTATTGTCATGGTCGGACGGTCCTTCCCGGGGTGACCTGCCTGTGTGTGTATGTGTGTGCTTCTCTCTCTCTCCTCCTCCACCCAGTGTCTGACACACCCGCACCTAATTTGCCACCCAGCTGTCACTGATCATCCTTCGTTGTGGGCTGAGGTATTTAACTGTGTGTCCGGATGGCAGTTGACGCTGGATTGTACTTGAAGCTCGGTAGTAAAGAGTGTTTTGTGACGTCCTGCTTAGCTTTAGCGGGCTAGCTTCCTCACCTGTTGTTTATAGGAGGAAGAGATATGGAGGTTGGAGAGAAGGAGCCTGTGGATTAAGCTATTGGAGGAGAACACACACGCTGAGAAT